CGTGGTTCAAAACCAAAATGTTTAAAATTCCAGCCAGATGTAAAATTGGAAGAATGTGCAGTGTGTGCAATACAGAATGCATCCCAAATGGGATGCTTTAAAGAGGTGGGATGCATGCTTTATAAAGAAGCTAATGAGTTTCTATCAAGTGAAGTTTCCACTTTAAAGAGAATGTCAGCAGGTTGTTGTTGAGGTGACAAAGGTGGATCAATGTGGCAATGCCCTTCTTGGTGTGTATGTGGGTGTGTGTGAAATACCACTTAAAACAACTAACTTGTTTTTTCAGAGTCATCTGAGAAGCACACAACCCACTTGGTGGTTGTTTGTTTTGGTTTTTTTTTTTTTTGCGTGGGGGGGACCATATATCCAAATGAAACAGTGTAGGTAAGCTTTACCTTTTAAATGATCTTCTGAAACATCAGTCTCCTGTGTTGTATCTCTCCAGTCCCTCAACATAATTGCAGTATGCATGGGGCAAGTCAGCCCTGCCTGCATTCCAATTCTGCCACCACCCTGACTAAAGATAAGCTGTTGCTGCAGTCAAGGTAGAGAAAATACAGTCTAGAATCATCTTGGATTGAAGACACTGGGTCCCATGTCAGTATAATACCTTTCTCCAAAAGGCTTCACAGGTACCAAATAGGACCGTTATCCAGATGGATACCCACCCCCCAGGAGAAGACAATAGGGACAGATGAGCTGTCTGCTATTCTGCAGATAGTGGTATCAAAATATGTTCCAAAGTAAGTTGCCAAAAGATTTCTGTCACCTTTTTTTGTTTCCCTGAGATTTTAAAAGCAGTATTTTGTTGTTCAAAAAAAATGGAACAACAAAAGAGATGATTTTGGCATATTTTATTAAGTGTAAGGCCATGAGAGCTATTAGAAGTCAGTGCCAGTGAAAACGAAGCTCAGGAGGGTGGGTGTCAATTCAGTGTGCAAGGTGCATGAGAAACTGCTTTTCCAAGCAGCAAGCAGAAGTAGTGTACAGCTACATGCTAGGACTAGTGCTCTGCTTCTCAGTTCCTCTTGGAATAGGTCATGAACAACACTAGGTGGAGCTACCAATTTGATAGTGAAATAACTGTTTTTACTGTGTGAAGATGTCATGTGAACGCATAAGCTGAGAAACTGCAAATAACTGCAGTGAGAGCAAACAGTCTATAGCAGTTTGATTTTGGGTACTATTTGTATTTTATTAACAGTAGTGTGCATAAAATTGAAGTGATAAGAGGAGTAAAAATTTGTCCAAGCTATTTTGTTTTCTAAAAGTTTTTTAATGTTCTTTTTGTAAATTGTCCCTTAACCAGTTATCATGGTAATTCTCAGTGATTTTCACCTCGGGTGTTAACTAAGGAGAGGAAAAAAAAGAGGTGTCACTTCCTCTAAAACTCATCTGCGATCACAGTTGGTCCTGTTCCTAATGTTCAAACTTAAAATAGGTAGTACTGTCAAATTCCATACTACATTGCTTATGCTGTTCTACTTTGTCGATGCTGTCAGCCTCGCAGCCTTAGCTGCTCACTCATTCAAGGCAGCAGTTTTAATAACTTTTCAATACTTAAGCTATGGGCAAAAGTTTTAAACAATTCAATACTAAAAGGCTGTGCTGGAATTTAGGTAGGAGGTTTGATTTTGTTAATGAAACTTAACTACTCTGTGTTTTGTCAGTCCTGCTATTTGTTTTTCAACTATAGCATGATGGGTTGGTTTGAGTTACCAAGTTGAATTATTGTATGCCTTGTAAAACTTCTCCATAATGCGTTACATCCAGGTCCTTGATTACTTCTTTGACCTTACTTTTGCAGATTACAAATTCTTTATTAATAGAGTTTTTATTTTTGGCATACATAAAATACCCTGCTACAGAGGGGATGTCTTTAATTTTTAGAGGAAGATTTTTAGCAATGCAAAAGACAACTGGAAAAAGAGTTAATTGAAACCAAGGCCCTGGCCTATTTTATCAAACTTTAGATATTTAACCAAAATACCTAAATTGAGTCCAAAAAGCTCAAGAATTGGTAATTGCTCATTCACCTTTCTTCTTGATCTGACTGTTAGTTAGCTGTGCAATATGTGAATGGCAACACATGTGAGACTGGCGATGCAGTGATCTGAGCTTACTGACTTAGAAGCAATTGCACCTCTATCCTCTCCTGTTTATCGGGATTCATTTGCTTTCTCTTACACCTTGGTTTTCAGCTTTCTGTGATAAGGAACTCTTCTGTTTTATCTTGTCTACCATGATTTTCTCCTCTGGATAGAACTTCCAAGAGCTTTAGCGGTACCAGAGTTGTGGTGGTATCTTCCACTGACAGCATGAGTTACAATGGAAAGAAGCTTGAAACTAGCCTCTTAGAAAACTCCTTCAAACTTCTCTCCAAATGTATGGTTATTTCCTGTCATTTGGCTTAAAACCTGGGGGTTGCATTCATCTTAAAATCTGTGGCAATAATAGTGAAACCCAGGGCTTTCTCTACAACATACATTTTAAGGAAAAATAATACACAGTGAATAAGTAACAAAGCTATGAGTGACTCGTGTTGTTACTGGTTACAGCTACTAAGGGAAGGACCAATAACTTTAGGTACCCTTGCTTTTATTTAACATTAGAGCCTTGTCTTAAAGAAAAATAACTTAAATAATGTTAATTCTTTTCTTGCTGGCTTCAAATACACATTTCAAACCTAATGAAGCCCTTTGGGTATCATACTTACAATCAGTGAACACATTCAGTGGCAGGGTATTTTACAAGAAACGTAGCTAAATCATGGGACATTGCATCATCACTGTTCCTGCTATAGCTGTCTCTGAGCTGTCGCTTGTGATGTTAACTGCATTCTCCCTTCAACAATCTTTGGAAAGAAGTGAAACTCAACAATCAAGAAATGCTTTATGAGATGTCAGAGTATTTGAAAATTAATTAGTTTCTATTGGAAAATATTCTGACAATACTTAAAAGCAGCAATGGTAAACAGTATTTGGCTATTTGTTCATATCTGGTTTATGGTTTATCTCAAGGACTTCCTCACCAGCTTTTTCAAGTAGGCTTATGAAGCTTCAGAGTGGTGTTTAGAAAGCACATATGGGGTGTAGTAGGCAAAGTAGAAGAAAAATAACCAAGGACTCTTCCTTCAAACAAAACTGATTAACTTTTTTTTAAGTTTACTTTGATTAATCACAAAAGTAACTTTCAATTGATGTGTAAATATGGTAAACACCAGACATTTATATATTAGAAAATAATTCCTGCTAACTGTGATCTTTAAGGACTTTCCCAGCAGTGTTGCTTTTGGCTAGTGCATATCTTTAGTGAGTTAGTGATGAACAGTACCTTTAAACAAAAAAAAAAAAAAGCACCCTTTGACTATGAAGTCTGAATATCAGATTCTTATTCTTTTCTTGTAAGTGATAGGTTAATGAGACTTTATTGACTTCAGTGGAATAATTTCTCATTTATGTTGCTGTAACAGAAAAATGAATTGTACCTTTCCTTTTTTCAGTTCTGTAGAGAATTAGCTGTAAGGGTAGCTGGCTATTTCTTTCGTCTCCCTTTGGTCATAAACTGTTTCCGGCAGAACAAGTTGATCACTCTTCCTGGAAAGGAGAAAGCAGGCACTCTTGATTCTTCAAGATGTTAACAAGGTGCAGGGGC